AATGTTTAGACACGACTGGATATTTGGATAACTATTTAACGGCACTGTTTTATAAGGGAGTCATTCACCGGCTTTTATCACAATATACTGAAGCGAGGAATTGCCTGAAAGTTGTATTTAAAGAGTATGTCTACATTAATCATTTTAATATGTTAATCATTTGAACGACATTTACAATTATTTATATATTTTATTTAAATTAATTATAATTATTGTTGTGTTTGAAAGAGAGGCCCGATTTGGACGCGAGTACTCAATACCCCCTCAATCGGCACTGGAGTTAGGATTACTGGATCTGGAGCTTAATAATGGGATCGAAGCTAGAAAATGGATAAAGAAAGCACTTCACGATTACAGCAATTATACGAATGAAAACTATGTCCACATCCGGGCCTACGCGGCGCTCCGGGAGTTAGGCGTCTCCACCGATAAACATAGTGTGGATCAGTCGTTAAGTAAGTATTTACCGCACTGTACTGTATAACTTAGTCATTATATTTAATGATTAGTTCAGTATTTATAATTGTATTTGATTTTTAATGTGAAACTTATTATTTGTGTGATTGAAGGCCAGGAGTATAGGGATCAGTGGTTAAGGGATATTCGCAATGAAGAGGAAAATGTGGATAAAATACTTACCAATGAGTTGGAGATTAATGATTAGGATATTTTGTTGTTTGCATTAATATTTTTTGTATAATTGTGTTTAAATAATTTTATATCACGATGTAATGTGTTTTGATATTTTTATCAATTATTTTATTATTTTTTGAATGTAATCATTTTGAATTTACATGATTATTATTTTTGTCATTTTTTAAATTAAATAAATTTTTTTATTATTTCTAAATAAAATCTTTTATTAATATTTGTTAAAATTAAATACATTTGAGATTAACAGAGGTTAAACTAATCAGATTTAACTACTTTTTGTTTTCTATTATAATTTCTAAAATAAAAGTTTGAAAACAGAGTGAACAGTGCGATAGCGTTGCCTAAATTGGCCGCTAAATAGCCTAAAGGCATATCTGTCTGTTTGATTGTCACAATTGAAAACCATATGACGTGAATGACAAACTGTATCAGTT